AGGAAGGTGCTGCTTAATATCTGCAACAACAACAAAGGCAAAAATAGAGTAGCAGAAGGCTTCAAAGGCTGTCCCAGTAAAATATCATAATCCCTTATGTAGTTTCTAGATCTGAGCCAATCTGCAGAGTTGAAATCCATTGACTAAAAAGGTAGAACTCTGCAACACCATGGCAAGCTGTACTGTGACAACAGTTGTATTAGTTTCCTAGGGCTGCCGTAACAAAGTACTACAATTAGGTGGTTGACAATAACAAAAATTATTCTCTCTCAGTCTGAAGGCCAGAAGTCTGAAGTCAAGATGTTGGCAGGGCCATGCTCCCTCTAAAACCTGGAGGAGAATTCTTCCTTGTTTTTTTTTGCTAATTTCTGGTGGTTTGCCATTCCTTGATGTATCACTCCAATTCTCCATCTTCACATTAACTTTTCCATGTCTTCACACCATCTTCCCTCTGTGAATGTCTGTCTCTGTGTCCAACTTTCCTCTTGTTATAAGGACTCAGGTCATACTGGATTAGGGCCCACCTGGTGAACTAAACTCATCTCAGCCTGGTTAAACCTGCAAAGATCCTATTCACATTCACAGGACTTCAAAATATCTTCTTTGAGGAGACACAATTCAACCCATGATAATAATTGTTTCCTAAAGGTCTTTCACTAGTGAGTTATCACTGGGGAAAAGGGAAGACCGAGACAATTCAAGGTATATTGGACACATAGGGTCTGTGTTGACATTGACACTTGGATATCCCTGTTAGTGTGGAAGTCTAAAAGGCCAGGCAATAAATGGAGTCCTGGTTAATGTACAGCTCACCGTGGTCCTGCTGAGTCCAATGACATCCCTGTGGTCATTTCCTTGATCCCTAAGTGTAAAATTGTAATTGACATTCCCAGTAGTTGGATTAGCTTCAATATTGGGTCCCTCGATCTAGGGTAAGATCTATCATAGTGAATAATACCAAATATAAAACTACGAAAATACCCCTATCACCCAAGGTGGTAAATCAAAAATAATATTGTATTCTGAGGTGGCTGACAGAACTTTGTACCATCATTAAAGACCTCAAGTGTACAAAGTGGTGGTATCAATCATATTTCCATTTAATTCACCAGTCTGGCCCCTGCAGAAACCTAATAGATCCTAGGGAATGACTATAATCTACAACAAATTAAACAAATAGTAGCCCTGATCACCGGTGCTATGCTGGTCATAGTTCGTGGCATTCACTCATTAACCTGGTATTGTTTGCATAACATCTTTTCAATTCAATCAAGAAAGAGAATTAGAGCCCTGCCTGAATGGCTCAGTGGTTGAGCATCATTCTATGAACCAGGAGATCATGGTTCGATTCCCAGTTAGGGCACATGCCTGGGTTGTGGGCTCAATCCCCAGTGAGGGGCATGCAGGAGGCAGCCAATCAATAATTCTCTCATCACTGATGTTTCTATTTCTCTCTCCCTCTCCCTTTCTCTCTAAAATCAATAAAAATAAAATAAATTAAAAATAAAGAGGAATAGAGAACCAAGATGATGGCATAGGTAAATGCTGGTACTCACCAGCACCCACAACCACATCACAATTACAAATAAAATGCAGAACAACCATCATTCAGAATTGCCTGAAATCTGGCTGAATGGAAGTGAAGTAAAGAAGAAAGTACATTGAGACTTGTAGGAGAGCCGAGGTGTAGAATGGGCTGGTCCTACACCTATGTTTATTTAATCAGGAGGGATATTTTAGCTGCAGAGGCCTCCCATGAGGAACAAGGAGTCCCAGCTCTACACCAGATCCCTAGCCCAGGATTCCAGAGCTGGGAAAAGAAGCCCCTATAACTTTAGGCTGTAAAAAGCAGCAGGGATGTGGCTGAGTGGCACGGAGGCTACTGGAGACCCAGAAAGTTACTTCTAGAGGGCCAGCACATGAACTTACATGGTCCTTCTCCCTCTAAGCTCCAGCACTGGGGCAGTGGCTTGGGAGGATCCAGGGACATACAGAAAGGAACTGAACTGGCTGACAGTGGCATTGGAATAAGAACTCAGGAGCAAGAACTCAGGGGCGGCTTTCTCCAAGACAGGGGTATTCACAGAAGTCATTGTTCCTATGCTGAGACCTCCCCCCATTGCAGAGCTGACTGGCAGCCATATCTGAGTTTTCATCAGCCTTGCTAACACTATTCCCTCCATCCTGTTGATTTCCTGAGACCCCACTCCTCCAATTTTTAGCCCTACCCAAGCTGTTTGCAGCAGCTTTTCCATGAATGGCCTGTCCTGGCTTAGGCTTCAGATCTCTCAAACAAGCAGCAGCTGGCATCAGCAAGACTCAGCACTAGCAGCGGTCTGCCTTGCTTCACAGATTGGCCTCACCTGGGCACTTCCAAGCCCAATACAAATAGCAGCCATCTGAAGATCACTCTTTAGCTCCTGCCAGGTGGCCCCAAGCAGTAGTTGACTTTGCACCTCCCAGGAGGCCCCAGGGCCAGTGCACAGCTTCAGACCATACTAGATTACAACTCTACACATCCACGAGTGACACACTCAAGGGGCAGGCTCAGTGAGCACCAAAGCCCCACTAAAGCAAGTCCTACTCCATAAGGGTATCTCTTGCACAGCAGCTGTCCCACTATAGTCGCAGCTATAGACAATTGGCCTGGAGTTCAACTCTTCCCAGTGACACCAATAGCAATCAAGGCTGAACTACAACAAGACTGTGCACACAGCCCACACAGTTCAGGTGATGGGGAGGCTGAGCCAGTGGGCCCTACAGGACACTGATTATACAACACCAGTCTACCAATTCCAGGAGACATAACAGTTCTACCTAATATAAAGAAACAAACACAGGGAAGCATCCAAAATGCAGAGACAAAGAAACATGTCACAAATGAAAGAACAGAAGAAATATCCAGAAAGAGAACTAAATGCATGGGCCCAGCAGCATGGACTCATTTACCAAGGTTGCTCAAGAATCTTAATGAGAGCTTCAAGGGACCTCGTGAGACTTTCAAAGATCTTAATAAGACTTTCAAGAACATTAGTGAGAACATCAAAGACATGGAAAAGGGCCAGTCAGAAATTAAGCATACACTAACTGAAATAAAGAATAATTTATAGGGATTCAACAGTAGAATAGAGGATTCTGAGAATCAAATCAACAAATTGGACTATAAGGAAAAAAAAAACACCGAATCAGAAAAGCAAAAAGTAAAAAGAATCCAAAAATATGAAGATAGTGTAAGGAGTCTCTGGGACAACTTCAAGCATACCAACATTCACATTTTGGGTGGCCAGAAGGAGAAGAGAGAGAGTGCAAGATATTGAAAACCTATTTGAAGAAATAATGACAGAAAAATTCCCCTACCTGGTGAAAAAAAATAGACTTACAAGTCCAGGAAGCACAGAGATTCCTAAACAAGAGGAACCCAAAGAGGTCCACACCAAGACACATCATAATTAAAATGCCAAGTGCTAAATACAAAGAGAGAATCTTAAAAGCAGCAAGAGAAAAGCAGTTAAAGTTAGTTACCTACAAGAGAGTGCCCATACAACTGTCAGCTGATTTCTCAACAGAAGCTTTGCAGGTGACAGGGGAGTGGCAAGAAATATTCAAAGTGATGAGCAGCAAGGACCTACAATGAAGATTACTCTACCCAGGAAAGCTATCATTTAGAATTGAAGATCAGATAAAGAGCTTCACAGACAAGAAAAGGCTTAAGGAGTTCATCACCACCAAACCAGTATTACATGAAATGTTGAAGGGTATCCTTTAAGAAGAGGAGGAAGAAGGAGGAGGAGGAGGAGGAGGAGGAGGAGGAAGAGAAGAAGAAGAAGAAGAAGAAGAAGAACAAGAAGAAGAAGAAGAAGAAGAAGAAGGAGAAGGAGAAGGAGAAGAAAAGAAGAAAAATATGAATAAAATGGCAGTGAATACATATCTATTGACAATTGAATATAAAATCAAAATAAATGAACAAGGAATCTAATGAACAAAATAAACTGATGAATAAAATAGAACCAGAAGCATGGGAACATGGAACAGACTGATGAATCTCAGAGAGAAGGGGGGGGGGCGGTGGGAGGGAAGAGATTAACCAAAGAACTTGTATGCATATATGCATTACCTATGGACATAGACAATAGGGTGGTGAAGGCTTGGGGCAGGAACCAAATGGAGAGGGACAATGAGGGAGGAAAAGGAGGACATCTGTAATACTCTCAACAATAAATATTTTTAAAAAAACAAGAAAGTATTAAAGCCTGGCTGTTGTGGCTCAATGGTTGAGCATGGACCCGTGAACCAGGAGGTCACAGTTTGATTCTCGGTTAGGGTATGTGCTTTGATTACCAGTTCAATCCCTAGTAAGAAGTGTGCAGGAGGCAACCGATCAATGATTCTCTTATCGTTGATGTTTCTATGTCTCTTTCTGTCTCCCTGAAATCAATAAAAATATATTTTTAAAAATAAAAATAAAATAGTTTGAAGATACACAGATCACCTGAAAAGCCCACAGAACATAATATCATGGTGACTGTAGAGAATAAATAAAAGGTGGCTAGTTCACTGGAGACTTTGGGAAGATAAATGCTTTAGAGGGGATGTGAAATAAACCCAATGAAGATTCAGAGGCCTGCATTTTAATAAATAAAGTTTTTTAGGAATCCAGTGGTCAAGGAAATCCCTGAATATTTCCTCCAAAGCAAAATACAAATTGCTGCATCTTGCACCCCCTACCACAAAGAAGAAACACAGTATTTGGTATATCTTATTTGATTCTGAAGGCAACACATTCTAGAAATATTGCTCCAGCCCATACACTGGGTGGTACAGAAGGTTGCTAAGATTGAGTGGAGCCTGGCATAGGAAAGAGCACTGCAACAGGTCCAGACTGCAGCACAAATACACCTACCACTGGGGCCCTTATGATCTTGGGTGGGGGGAGGTACATGAGGCTGAAGGTGTCAGTCGTGGAACAAGATGCATCATAAGATGGAAAGGGTATAGCCGAGATCAAACCTGAGCAGAACCAAAGGGCACAAGTAAGTTGCATGAGGGAGTACTCACACTGCTGTACTAAGGCCCTTCCCCAAACTGCATCTATGGTCATATTGGGAGGGGTGCCCCATATCATCAGTAAAGCATGTGGAAGGACATATAGGAGTAGGCAAGAAGCCTGAAGATATATGTATCACATGCTAACACCCACCAGAAAGTATCCACTACATGAGAATATTAAATGCCCAAATAGGTCATTACAAATTACCTGGCCATTGGACATTAGCCCGCCTTCATCATTGGTGCAATTGACATGTAAATGGAGTGGCCACAGTGGCTGAGATGGAAGTGCTGCGTGGGCCCAGCTGCATGGACTCATTCCCAAGGCCAAGGGGATCTACTGCTGCCTCTGAATGTCCAACCTGTGAACAACAGAGACCTGCTGAGGCACTGATTAAGAGACCACTAGACTGTCAAATCTACTCCTCTGGATCCCTTCCATATTTGAAGAGCCAGCAGCTCATCTTACAGGATATATAACCATTCTAGGTATGGGTTCACCTTACTGCCTAATGGACCTCGGCTAGCACCAGCAGCCAGGATTGCTGGGATGCCTGATCCACAGACATGGAGTTCCACTCAATCAAGCATCACACTGTGGAACCCACTTCTCAGAGAGGGAGGTACAGGAGTGAGCACATGGCTGTGGAACCCACTGGTCCCATCATAGACCGCACCACCCAGAAGTTTCCTTGTGGGAATGTTGGGATGGCCTTCAAAGAGCGCAGGTGAAGGGACACTGCAGAGAGCATCCTCTGAAAGGATAAATGTCATCCTTCAGGACACATTAGTGAGAGACGTGTGGATGGTGCTGGGTCCCCATTAGGAATAACACATGGGTCTAGGGACAAAGAAGTGGAAGCAGGTGAGTATGGGCCCCACTTACCATCACTCACAGTCGCCACTGGGAAATTCAGTGCTTCCCATTAAACTAAAAGCAATTGCTCTGCCATGGCACCTTGGATTCCTGGGTCCATTTGCCTCCAGGGGCCCACAAGCCTGAACCCTAACCCATCCTGGCAGGGGTTTGTGACACCAACAGCAGCTGGAAAAAGTGCTCCTTTTACACAAAATGCAAGAGAAGTTCAGGTGGAGCCCAGGGATTCCCTTGGGTGCCTCTGGTACCCCTGTCCAATAGTAACTATGAATAGATTCTCCCAGCCATCCCATTAGAAGGGATGTGGACCCTTATCTGGGTCACACCACCAGGTAAGCCACCAAGACCTGCCAAAGTGAGTGATAAAAGTGAGGGGAGCCTTGGCTGGTGTGGCTCAGTTGGTTGGGCATTGGCCCAGGCACTGAAAAGTGGCTGGTTTGATTCCTGGTAAGGGCACATGCCTGGTTGCAGGTTCCCCAGTGGGGGGCATGTAGGAAGCAATTGATTGATGCCTCTCACATCAATGTTTCGCTCTCTCCCTCTCCCTTCCTCTTTCTCTAAAAAAATCAATTAAAATCTTTTTTTTTAATGTGAAAGGAAATCAGGCTGGATAGTAGAAGAGAAAGAGGATGAATGGTAGTTTGTCCCCTCTCCCAAGAGCCTTCCTCTTCTCAGTGTCCCCGCTGGAGAAGAGGCCCATGGGAAGCACATAGAAGTTGTTCCCAGGAATTGTATGGATTAGATAGATCTATGCAACACAGAACTGGGCTGTGGAGGCCATGGAACATGCATCTTGGACCCCTGGCTGCTGAGAGAATATGGGCAGCCTCGGCTGCTGTGCCAAAATCTACCTCTTCCCAGCCAGTGACTGAGTGTGGCAGGGATGCTGGCCACTGTTCCCTGGAGACGCAGAACTCCTCTCTCAGTCACTGGGACTCAAAAGACTTGTCATTGGTCTGCCAAAACTTTCTTAAATCTGCATCACAAACTAAGATTTCCCTTCCAGCCCTCCAGCCTTCCCTCCCTCCTCAGTAAGGGTCAAACCTACATCCCAACACCCTCCCCCACTTCCCTTTGGCTTCCTCCCTCCATTAGCTTCCTGTGGCTATTATAATAAACCAGCACAAACCTAGTTCCGCAGGGCAGAAGTCTGGAACAGATTGTCAAGCTGCATTCCTTCCTGAGGCTCTAAGGGAGATTCCTTTAGAGGTTCCAGGAAAGAACCCATCACTTGCCTTCTGCAGCCTCTAAAGGCAGCCTGCATTCCTTGGCTCATGGCTCCTTTCTCACTTGACTTGGACCTCTATTCCATCACCACATCTCCATCTCTGACTCTGCCCTCCTGTCTCCCTCTTAAAAGGTCCCTGTGCTACATTTAGGGTCTACCCAGACAATCCAGGGTAATCTCCCTAGCTCAAGATCCTTAATCTAATCTCATCTGCAAAATCATTTTGGTCACGTGTGGTCACATATTTACAAGTTCTGGGGATTAGGACATTGACATCTTTGTGGGGCATTATGTAACCTGCCACATCCCCACTCCCCCAGAGGCATGTTCCCTAAGTAAATTTCTTGCGCATCTAATCCTGTCTTGGCGTCTGCTTTCTTGGAGAACCTGAACTGACAGCTGGGTCATTCACTAGTGCCCCTTCGATCTAGGCAAGCAGGGTCCTTGGACCAGCCCCATGCATCATTTGGCCCTGTCCTTTAGAGAGCCCTCTCCAAACCTTCTTAGTCCTCCTCTGCCAGCCTGATGGTGCCACCGAGGTGGGGGTCCTGGGCCTGCCTGAGACTTAGGTGGACAGCAGTTCCCATTTCCTACTTTAGAACACTCTCCAATTCTCCATATCAGATGCTCTGAAGAGCTCTGAGCCCTGCGCCTATGAGGTTGTCCTGGGGCACCCTTGTCAGGAGCATTTGCAGGAGGGGAACGCCTGAGCTGAGGCTCCAGCTCGCCTCCTAGGTATTTCCTCTGGATGGGTGAGATTGAGCCATCAGGGTAGTACTCACAGGCTGACTCTGGATGAGTCTCACTCACATCAGATACAGGATGGTTCAGTGCTCTCGGCGAACAACAGTCTATCACAGACCCTTGGTTTGAGCAGCATTGGTGGCCCACACAACAGCTGTCCCTCCTCCATGTCCATGTCAGGCAATCTCCTGGAGGCTGTGGAAAGGCCTCTGAGGGTTTTCTCGCCATCATTCTGTGTTGCCAGTGCACCCTTCCAATGCAGGTCCTCTCTTGATTCCAGTCACTGTGATGATGCCATGCTCCCCTGAGGCTCAGGCTCTGCTGGAGGAGGGATGAACATTCCTTGCTGAATGGGACCCTCTGGTTGCTTCACCCAGGGCTCCTGGCTGTCCTCCCATTGCTGGTGGTGTGTGAAGGCAACATGCGAAGAGAACACATTCCAGGGATGTAAGACTAAAACCTAAAGGGTTAAGAGAACACAGGTTTGGAAAATAGGTTCTTCTACCTTTACCAATATACTAAAAAATTCACTTTTGTGGGGAAATAATTAATTTTCACATGAAAATAATTTTTTTTCACCACACATAGTTACAAAACATTTTTTCTTGTGATGAGAATTTTCAAGATCTACTCTCCTAGATACTTTCAAATATGCAATACAGGATTATTAACTATAGTCACCATACTGTACATTGCATCTCATGACTTGCTCATTTTATAACTGGAAATTTGTACCTTTTGACCTGCTGAACTATAAAATTTGAAATACATTTTACGACCAGAAGATGACTTATTGTTCACATTTTTGTGCATGCTGCAGGGACGACCTGGGATTATAGTCATCATCAACAAAGCATGGTGACAACCTTGAGAGAGTCGGTGGAAGCCAGTACACACAGATGCCGGGTAGATGAGGCAGCCTCCTGAGTAATGATATGACCACCATTAAATCCATGGCATTAGGAAGCTGAGGAGGCAAGACGATCTATGTTGTTTCAATACAAACAAGCCCAGAAGAGCCATGGAATTATGAGTAATAATCATGCTGCATGAGAGATACAATTAGCCAAGATTTTGAACAAAAGAGATGGTTCCTGGACCTGAACAGAAAGAAATGGTACCTGGACACTAAGAAGAATCTTTATAAAGACAGGGCAATAAATACATTTGTAAGTGTATCTTCTCTACTCATAACTCTAAATCAATCACTCAGTCAATCACTACGCTTCACAGGGGCCCATGAATTTTGTAATACATTTAAAAAATTTTTTTAATTTTTATTGTTCACTTACAGTTGACATTCAATATTATTTGTGTTAGTTTCAGATGTATAGCACAGTGGTTAAATAATTATTTACTTCACAAAGTGTTTTTCCCAATATTTACAGTACCCACCTGGCACCATACAATTATTACAATATTACTGACTTGTAAGACATTACTAATAAAATTGCTTATGGTAGACAGGAGCTCCACAGAAATAAATCAATAAATATCTTCCTGGGGTTTATGAACATTTACCAAGTTCTAATATGAACAAGAATTGTGCTAGATATCATGAATACAAAAAAGAATAATGCACAATCCTGGACTCCATGTAATTCACAGTTAAAGTTGTAGCAAAGTACAGATATAGCCAGGGCCCTGTGGAAGGGACATAGCCAGGGCCCAGTGGAAGGGACATAGCCAAGGCCCTGTGGCAGGGACATAGCCAGGGCCCTGTGGCAGAGACATAGCCAGGGCCCAGTGGAAGGAACATAGCCAGGGCCCAGTGGAAGGGACATAGCCAAAGCCCTGTGGCAGGGACATAGCCAGGGCCCTGTGGCAGGGACATAGCCAGGGCCCAGTGGAAGGAACATAGCCAGGGCCCAGTGGAAGGGACATAGCCAAGGCCCTGTGGCAGGGACATAGCCAGGGCCCTGTGGCAGGGACATAGCCAGGGCCCAGTGGCAGGGACATAGCCAGGGCCCTGTGGCAGAGACATAGCCAGGGCCCAGTGGAAGGGACATAGCCAAGGCCCTGTGGCAGGGACATAGCCAGGGCCCTGTGGCAGGGACATAGCCAGGGCCCTGTGGCAGGGACATAGCCAGGGCCCAGTGGAAGGGACATAGCCAAGGCCCTGTGGCAGGGACATAGCCAGGGCCCTGTGGCAGGGACATAGCCAGGGCCCAGTGGAAGGGACATAGCCAGGGCCCTGTGGAAGGGACATAGCCAGGGCCCTGTGGCAGGGAAATAGCTAGGGCCCAGTGGAAGGGACAGAGACAGGGCCCAGTGGCAGGGGCATAGCCAGGGCCCTGTGGAAGGGACATAGCCAGGGCCCAGTGGAAGGGACATAGCCAAGGCCCTGTGGCAGGGACATAGCCAGGGCCCTGTGGCAGAGACATAGCCAAGGCCCTGTGGCAGGGACATAGCCAGGGCCTTGTGGCAGGGACATAGCCAGGGCCCTGTGGCAGGGACAGAAAGAGGGCCCTGTGGCAGGGACATAGCCAGGGCCCTGTGGCAGGGACATAGAGAGGGGAGATGCAGAGAGCACATGGAATATAATGCTCCCTGTTAGACCTCAGAAAGGCAACAATGAGAACCACTCTCTCCGAGAGTGGGTTAATGGGATTTTTCAGCCATCTTCTGAGTCCAAGTTTCTTCTCCTTTGATTAAACGTCTCTTTGCTCAGGTCTCCATGGATCAAAGATTCCGGTAAGATACCTATGGAAGGATGGGAGAAACGCAGGTCTGTCTGTCCAAACAGCCTGCTCTGAAGTCACCAAAATGACACCAGAGAAAGGATTGCTTGACCAGCCTCCCTCTGTTTCTGTTTTAGCTTCAGAGTCTGGGTGGAGTAATAAGGCACTCATGCAAGGATGAACCCCGGCCCCACATCATCCATCACAGTAAAAGTCTACATGGAAATAGAGGTCTCTCAGGGGAAGGAGCGAAGGGGAACGATGAAGCCCCTTTGCTTTGGGGGCAGAGTCAGCTGGGAGTCTCCACAAACATGAGATTTCCAGCCCATCAGTCATCCTACAAGCCCCACAGGCGTCTCATCATCAGGCAAAATGTGAGAATGCCGAGCTGCAGGGCTGTCTGAGGACACACAGTATCGGGGAGCAACACCGAGAAAGAATTACCTATTATTTCATTTATATGAGATACTTACTAGTAGAGAAGTCAAATTCATTGAGACAGAAAGTAGATGGTGGGTGCAGGGGCTGGGGGAGAGGATGGGGAGGTAGTGTTTAATGAGGACAGTCTCAGCTTTACAAGATCAGAGAGTTCTGGAGGTGGATGGTGGTGCTGCTCACACGACACTATGATGTATTTAACTTATAAGCACTCAACAGTACACTTAAAATAGTTTAGATGATAAATTTATGTTATGTGTACTTTATCACAATGAAAAAATTTGGAAAAAAAGGACGAAACACATGCTGATACATGCTGTAGCAAGGGTGAACCTCGAAAACATGCTAAAGTGAGGGAAGCCAGACACAAAGGTCACAGTATGTGATTCCATTTATATAAAAAATCCAGAATAGATAAATCATAGAGATGGAAAGCAGATTGGTGGTTGTCCGGCCAGGGGGAGGGGGAATGAGGGGGTACCCTGCTTAACCATAGTTTGCTTCTGGGGTGATGAAAACGTAGAGCTGGAATGGGGTGCTTGTGCAACATCGTGAATGTACTAAATGCCACTAAATGATTACTTTAAAATGGTTAAGTTTATGTTATGTGAATTTCCCCTCCATAAATTATTTTTTCAAAACACACACACACAAAAAAATGCCAGCCAGGCTGGTGGGTGTGAGTGAGAATAAAAATAACCAGTCCGGGGAGGCTGGGCCCGGTCCGGAGGTGGAATTTGCCCAGATCTTCCCAGCTCCTGAGGGTCTTCTGTGGGGACCTAACCACAATCCGAGCACAGACCCACCTGCTGGCTCCAGCCACTCTGTCCTCCAGAGCCACGCATGGCAGCCACTCTCCTCCCTCTCCCTGGGCTCCTGCACTTACTCCTACAACGTCAGGCCTATTTGCAGAGAGACACCAAGGATGTAGCCTGGGTCAGAGCGGCAGTGTCAGGGAAAACGCAACCTGTGCGGCTGCTCCACTGAGGGCCAGCCAGGCGTCCTCGGCTTTCTGACCACGACCTCCACTTGGCAATGCCACAGTGGGCCCCTGGGGCACCGCAGAGGCCTCGGATGGCTGCTCAGGGCTGCGTGGGCCAGTGAGGGAAAGGGGGAAAGCAGGGCCCCTGGCTGCCCGGCGGGAAGATGAGACCTGTCGGTGGGGAAGTGACGTGAGGGCAGGGAGAGGGCAGCAGCCTGAGGAAGAAGCTACTCTACTGTAAGATGTTTTGTTTTTTAGAGAGAAGACAAACAGCTGAAATAATTTTTAAAAAATCCTTTGGTGAGGGAAACACTGACTGCACATGAAGGGGTAGGGAAGGGCAGTGAGCCAGGGAGGGGGGGGGGGGGGGGGGGGGAGGGAGGCGGGAATGTCCAGATCCAGGGGGAAAGTCAGCCAGGAAGCCAGGAGAAAGCTGGTGTGGGCAGTGTTTGAAGGTGGAGGGTGAGAAATTCCAGGAAGCACAGAGCAAATGCCTTAATCTTCTAAGTGGGAAAGGAGGCAACATCAGGGGGTGGAGGCAGGGCTGAGATGGGAGGCTAGGTAATTCCCCCGTGGCCACAGAGGGCCTAGAATAGGACGTCCTGGGTGAGTGACAGCAGCGTTTGCCAAGCTTGCTGGCCAGGAGTGTCACCATGTGCATTTCCCAGCTCCTCCCCTGGAGATGGAGTCAGTACACAGGATGGATGGGATCAAAATCTGCATGATGAGGACAGCCTGAGGACGTACTTAACGCCAGGCAAGTTTAAAGAAACAGTGAGTTAAAGAAGTGTTGAGCAGCAGGGAGAGGCTGGATAAAGGGAAATTGAGGGGGATAATTCAGTATCCTTCTCACAGCAAAACTCTGCTGCCCAGAGAGTTTGGAGCATTTGGAGAAAATGCTCCAAATGCTCCAAAGCCCATTTGGAGAAAACTGGTGGTGGGGTTTAGCCGTAACAGTGGGATCTATGCAAGAGAATGGAATCTACTTAGGAGGGTGAGGTCTATCTACTAGGCAGGGGTCTTTAAGGAGTGTGCAGTGGCACGTCCAGGGCACGGGGGTGCAGGGTGTGGTGGTAACTGTGAGCAGTCCGAATGCTTGACCTTGGACCCACACTTGGCAGAGGCCAGAGTGAAAAAGCAAGAGAGAACTGACAGACTATGAGAACAGGAAAAGTGGACGGAGCAGGGTCAAGATCCTGAGGTCAGTGAGGATGAGGAAACGGGAGAGGCTTGGGTAGAAGATGGGAATTTCAGAGTTAAACATCGGGGAGTTTGCGTGTACACATCACTGCTCAGCTGGGAGAGGCATATTCCCAGGCCACCGATTAGACCGAGCACATCTTCCGGAGGCAGCATTTTACACATATATTTGGGGAGGAAATTATTTTTATATTATAATAAACACATTCCATTGATTCACATGAAATCGTAAGATTTTTTTCAAAAAGACTTCAAAGACTTTTCTCTTGGCTGCTTCGGGCTGCATGCCCGGGTTCGTGTTCCTCTGTGGTTAGCGGGACTCAAGAGGAGGCGTTTGAGCAGCGCTGCTGAGGAACCTGCCCAGTAAAGCAGACGCCGGGCCCGGCACTGAGAGCAGGGCCTCTCAGCAGGGCCAGCTTTGACCCCGTGATTATCGGAACTTCATGACATTGCCAATAATTCCATAACCATTTATATAAGTAAAAATGGTTACTTGATGTGACCAAAACCTAAATCTCAGGTTCACTTTGGAGGTCTCTCCCTCACCACCACCTCCACCATATGGCCTCCAGGGGGCACTGCTCTCCCTTCTAAACTCTATCCCCAAGACAAAGGCCACTTCTTGGCTTCCTAAAGCATCACTAAGTCAGGCTTAGAACAAAAAGACTTTTAAAAGAACATAGAAAGACACATGAATCTGGGCAGTATAGCCCCTTGTCCCCTGAAAGGTGGCCCCAGACCAGCAGTATTAAAATCACCTAGGAGCTTGAGGCTTCCCTGGCCCCAGCCAGACCTATTGAATCAGAATTGGCATTTTAACAAGATTGCCCCAGGTGATCTGAGTGCACACGATAATTAGAAGCTCCGGTCTAGTGGGCATGATTCTGCTTATTGAGCATCTGCCTCCCTAACCTCAGCAAGCTGGGACCGTCTGAGTAACACCCTCTCCCCCCAGGAACGCCCTCTTAGACCCTCCACTCCTCAAAAATAGACAGAAGGCTTGGCCCTCCCAGTAATACCTCCCTGCCTGTGGGCCCCATTTTACTCTCAGGGTGTATTAGCTATCTACTGCTGTGTGACAAATGACCCCCGAACTTAATTTAAAACAACAAACATTTATTATCTCACCATTTCTCGGGGCTAGGAGCCTGGGCATGGCCTAGCTGGGAAACTCTGACACCGGGTCTTCTCAACAGGCTGCAGTGTCAGCAGTGGAGACGGCTCCACTGCGAGCATTTCACTCTCGAGCTCACTCCTGTTGGGAAATCAGGCAGCCTCAGGTCCCAGCTGGCTACTGGTCAGACACATTAATCCTCTGTCACGTGGTTCTCTCCGCAGCGTTAATCACAACAGAATAGCTTGCTTCCTTCAGAGCATGAGCTCTGGAAGGTGAGAGGGCACAGTAGAGAGATATTGACAGGGCAAGCAAGTCAGAAGTCACAGTCTTTTGTAACCAAACCTTGGGAGTGACATTCCATCACTTGTTTTCATGCGCTGTTAGAAGCAAGTCACTAGGTCCAGCTCAGGCTGACAGGAGCGGATTACTGGGGTGTAAATACCAGGGATCACTGGTATTGACAGTGGGGATCACTGGGAACATTTAGCCGCCTCCCTCTGGTAGTGATCTCACATGTAAGGGGCATGTCCCAACAGGGCAACATATTAGAATACAAGACAGTAACCTCCACCGTCATCCCTTAAGAATGACAGACATCCAGTAACAGCAGGTTTATTCCCTCTTAAGAGTAGCTTTCAGAGTGATTCCACAATAACATCACTTGGGGAACATTAAGAATAATAATGGGGGGGGAAAGATAAAAACACTAATGCAAGTCAATTGAATCAGAACCTCCAGGCATTGTTTTTGTTTTGTTTTAGTTTTGTTTTCAATTTCTGGGCTGATTTCAGTAAAGAGATGGGGTTGAGAATTACTGTCTCAGATGAACAATTTCAAATGCTGTAATGCCAGGGCTGGGGTGGAGGTCACTGGGACAGAAGAAGGTATGGGCTGGGCAGCTTGGGATTTTGATGGGTGACCTGCTGTGGAATATGGACAGGAAAAGTCAGCAGGAGATACAGGCCTTAAGGAGTCTGCGCTCATCTGAGAGGTGAGGGGATAAGACAGACGAAAGAGAAATGGCTTCACACACTGCCTTCCAGAGGTTAGGCTGGATGACTTTTGTAACAGGAAGAAAGGAAGGAAAAGAGGAGGGAGGCAGGGGGTGAAGGTAGAAAAAGAAACCTGTCTATTTAAAAACTTGTCCTCAACTCCAGCTGATGGCTTCAAGGAAATGAAAATAGAAAATGAAGAAGACTGAACCAATAAAAGTGCCTTATAGTCTTTTACCCCATGTCTATAGACATACAGAAAGTCAGAGCTGGAGAGGCCCTGTAGAATACCAGGCCACCTTCATGTTATGAATGAAGAAAACGAGGCACAGAGGGTCATGGGAGGGGGCATGGCATTGCTGGGATTAGAACTCACACCCTTGAACCTGAGCCCAGAGCTCAAATCGCAGGCTTCCCACATGCACCACATCTCTGGGCAGGGTGGGTTTCACCCTCCCCCTTCACACCAGCGTGAGAAGGAGACTTACTGAAGAATGGGTCCAAGGAGATAACATGCCTTCTCTTACAGGGCACCGTGTCATTGGAGAGTGTCTTTCACAGAAACATTTCAACAAGGGTGAGCCCACAGGAGGTGGGTGGTTCTCCGTTAATTTACTGCTTGATGGGAACTGTCACGGGGGTGATGACAGTCTTGAGGTCTAACAAGCTCCCTGCTTATTGGAGGGGAGGAGTCTAAGTCTGAGCCACAGTCTGAGTCTGAGACGGGCCTTAACCGCTGCTCTGCCCTCGGTTTTGTCCACAGTAAGACGGCCCTTCTCCAGGCAGGTCCAACCTTTACCTCTCCTCCCCGGCCTCTCCCACCTAATCGGAATCTTACCCGCTGTTCTCATCCTCAGGGACAGTCACTCCCCTCCCGTTGCCATGGCCACCAGCCTCACCCAGAGCATACCAGCCATGCTGTTCCCAGCCTCTGGCTGCCACCCAGGCAGATGCAGAGCAGTTGGGGAAGAAAACAGCCTCCTCGGAAAGCTGGTCCAAGGCTGCTTGGAGGGACTCTCCTCTGTGGGCTGAGTCTTCCCCTTCGGTCCTTTTGGCTGCCGGCTGTGCCTGGGCGGTGATTGATCCTGTCTCTCCCTGCACCGGCTTCTCGGGAGCCTCTGACCCAAATCTCCTAGCGCTAAATAAGGCTGTTCCCAGGGCTCAGGAGCCTGGCTGGGAGCCAAACACTGAGAACTGAGAACGGCACCAGTTGCCGCCAGCTCACATCTCTAAAGTCTTAAGAGAGTGATGAGAAGTGCGGCCCGAGAGCTCTCCTGGAAAGAGAAATCCGTGGCAGAGAAGCCAAAGAAGCACCAGAGGCATAGAGATGGACTCCCTTTAAAAACAAACAGAGACAAACCCGCCCGTGTAGCCTGGCCTAAAGGACAGCCGTCCCGGGGGTTACGCTGGCCCAGGCTTGCTTCACCGCCAGCCATTGCAGCAGCGAGGCCAGGGGAGGACCCTGCAGTGCATGCCAGCACTGCCAAGTGGCAGCTGTTTCTCGGGTGGACGACCTGCTTTACCCGGGTCTGGGTTCTAGCCAGCACCCTCCAGTGAGAAAAGGCAAGGCAGAGCGCAGCACAGAAATGCAGAATGTTGTTTTCACTGTGCATCCCTCTCCTCCTCCACTGGTGCTCACAAATCACCCGCTGGTCCCTGCCCCGGTTTCCAGTAGGTGTCCACAGAGTTACAGAGCCTGGCCTGGGATCAGGGTGGGAGGCAGGGGTGTGCTCACAGATGTGACAAGGGATGGGGACAGGAGAGTAGCAGCTACTTCTGCTGGCCAAACTACAGCAGTTCCAACCACTTTCTGCTGTCCAGGGCCATGGACCACCCTTCCCCCCCCCCCCGCCCCCCGCCACCCCCCTGCCGAAGGCACTGATGTCCTGCCCAGAGGGATTTTGTTGAAGGTCATGTGTCTTTGTTAAAAAGTTGCTAATAAATGGAGCTGAGCTGCTTGGGGGAAGAAGGTGCTTTATTCTTTTGTAGAAGTAATTTAGGCCTGCCCAGTGTGGCTCAGTGGTTGAGCATCGACCTATGAACCAGGAGGTCATGGTTCAATTCCCGGTCAGGGTACATGCCTAGGTTTCGGACTCCATCCCCAGTGTGGGGCATGCAGGAGGCAGCTGATCAATGATTCTCTCTCATCATTGATGTTTCTCTCTCTCTCTTTCTTCCTCTCTGAAATCAATATAATATATACATATATATTTTTTAAAGAAGTAATTTAGAAAATTACCTCTTTCCAGTGGGAAAGAATAGAATCATAAGTTACTAACTAGTCAAAAATTAATGAAAATGATGCCAAAAGATGCTGTGGTCTGAATTTCTTCATAATTTTTAGTGCTCACTTGGAATGATTTTTTCAGCTTACTATTTAAGTTTAAGTATAAACATTTTCATAAAGATGCATGATTTAATTTTCAAGGGACATGTTTACCTCTATAGCTTATAAAGCAAGCCTCAACGACAAGCCTTACTATTCAGACCACATGGCCGTGAACCAGTCCGCATCAAACCATCACTCCCACCAACTTTAACAACATCCCCTGAAAGCAGGGTAAATAGATTCCAGGTTCGAAGATGGAAAACGAATGTTCAAAAGGTGGCAGCCATCACATCTCCCAGTAGAGCCGGTACAAACCCTGTGCTTCTCTTCCCATTCTCTTCATCATCCCCTCCCCTCTGGGCACCCACATACCCAATTTATTCAGAACGACTCCTGACCTCAATGAGGAATATTTAGATGACTAGAAGCTGAGGGTCCAGCAGGGAGAAGCCTCAATATGGCTGGGCCAATTCAGCTGAAATATCTTCCGAAGTTGCTGGCACTCTTTGGAGACTTACTGTCTTTTGAAAGACAAGGACAGTTGGTAACTTCTTGCACCACCGAAGGTTAGCCCCCTATGCACACAAGCACTTTCTCCCTCCCCAGCACATGGCTGTTATCTCTCCGTCACTCAGACTCACGTGCACTGTGCTTGGCCTCGCCCCAATCCCCCGAGGGACAGCTGCTCCAAGGCCCAGCCTGACACCAAGCAGCTGGATGAGCAATGTTCTCCACTGCGAGCAGGGGCGGGCTGGGCTGCCTGTGGGTGAATCATGAGAGTCTGACTTGGAAGACAGATCAGAACCATGAGGATAACTCCACCGCATGAAGGCGTGGAGGGAGATTTACCACTTTCCAAATAGATAGCAGAAAATTCAAGGTTTTTGTTTGTTTGTTTGACTGCGTTTCAAGTATTTGGAAGGCTTACATGTAACTAACTGGCAGCTGCTGACTTCCTGAGCCTTTAAAAAAATAACAAGTGTAGCCCTGGCCAGTGTGACTCAGTTGGCTGAGCATCACCTCATGACCGGTTCGAGTGCAGGTCAGGGACCATACCTAGGTTTCGGGTTCCATCCCGGTAGGGTTTGCTTGTGGGAGGCAACTGATTGATGTTTCTCTCTCACATAAATGTTTCTCCCTTCCTCTCTTTCTAAAAATCAGTAAAACATGTGTTTTAAAGTCTTTATTTAAAAAAAAAAAAAAGTGTATTAGGGCACAGATCTAAAGTTCAATAGATGTCAGTTTGGATGTGGCTCTGCCACTTACCAGCTGTGCTATCCTATAAGTCACTTACCCTCTTGGCGCCTTCACCTCTGAAACACATTACACATAAGCATGTCAAACCCCTGGCCCGAGGGCCACATGCCTCATTTATTTGGTCCGTGTTGGCCTTTGAGTTTGACATGCTTACATTATATCTTTTCCTGCTGCCTTGGTTTGAGGTTTAAATGAAAGAATCCGTGGGGTAGGCAGGGGCAGTATCTGTTCAGAGTGGTTGGCACATAAGAAGTGCTCAATAAATCTGCTCTGAATAAGTGAATGTCTATACTTCCAGTGTCTGCCATGGAGTAGTTACTCAATGAGTACTGATTTTTGTCCCTTTCCTTTCCCAGATGAGCAGCCACTAGAGAGCTGGTTCCAATAACCTCGAGACCAAGCCAAAAATACAGCTTCTCAGAGGGGCCTGGCCACCTCTGCCAGATGCTGGGGGGGGTGGGGGGGGGGGCGGGGAGTGGCCAGCTGACTAACTAGTTGGCAGCTTTGTGCAGAGTGATTACAGCTCTTCTGAACCTTAATTTTCTCCTTCTTTAACATGAGAGAGCTGGACTAGTTGTAAACAATTTATAGCATCAAAACTTTTTTCACAAGGAATCTTATACAGAAACCCCCCAACTGAATAAAATCACTCAGGGAGGGGATGAAGCCCCAGTTCTGGGTGTGCTCACCTCCCCAGCCCACCTGCTTTTAGAAGTTGAATGGAAGGCACCCCCTGAGGAAATCTAAGGTTCCTTGGAGCACAGTTAGAGAACCACGGGATTACATTCTAAATCTCTAAGTGTGACACTTTGTGATTGAGTGTTTACAGAGTAAATTGGGCACAGTTTTGAGAAAATTAGCTC